TATCTCTACCGTGCTGGCCTTAAGTGTGAAGCAATCGGTCTCTAGTATCTTGATCTCTAGTAAACAGAGACTTCCGAGCGACTCCGAAGAAGGACAGATGCCCCTCTCTCTCTCTCTCTCTCTCTCTCTCTCTCTCTCTCTCTCTCTCTCTCTCTGTGTGTGTGTGTGTGTGTGTGTGTGTGTGTCTGTGTGTGTGTCTGTGCCTGTGTTTTTTTTTTCTTTCTTTTTTCATGTAGCTCTGTGGTGATTTCATTTTATGTTATGTCAAACTTCTGGCAAAGATCGAACGCGAGAGGACAAGCCACGTGTTTAACTTCGAACATGCGTCTGAGCTCCCAAAGGGTTCTTAATGCCCAAATGTGCAGGAAATTTAGAAAAACAAAAAGGTAACCGCTTCGATACCTACTCTATAACAGTGATATAAAGTCAATGCGTGGCCGAAGCAATGATATTTGAATAGTGCTTTGAAACAATGCAATTTCGTGTTTGGTTTCTAGCTCCATTTATATTTGGAACCCTTGTGACTGCTCAAGATGCTGCTAGCCTCGCTGATGCTCAAGCTCTCTTGGAGTTCAAAAGCACCATCTGGCTGGACCCGCTAAATATTTTCAGTACGTGGAACATCCCTGGTGGCATTGGCTCTAGCGCTTGCAGCTTTACAGGCATTACATGTGACAGTGGCGGTGCCTTCAGGGTGGTGTCTGTAGCGCTTGAGAAAATGAGACTACGTGGTATCGTCTCAATCGCCGTTGCCAACTTGACTCAGGTGGTCAGCTTCGACATCAGCAATAACGAGTTCATGGGAGGAGTTCCCGTAGCTTTTGGGTCAATGCCATCCTTGCAGTTCTTGGACCTTAGCAATAATCAGCTATCTGGTATACTGCTGATGAAACTCATGAATGTCTTCTTGGACTAACAAAGAAGCCTTGGAACTTGCAGGTCTTGTACCGTCTGATCTCTCATGGCTATATAACCTGCAAACGATTAATCTAGCCAACAATCAGCTGGCAGGGGGTCTTCCCGCTTTCTATTCATGGGGGCTTCAGAGTATTGATTTTTCAAACAACACCATTGAAGGGCCCATCCCGTCGAGCTACGCCGAGTTAGCTAACTTATTAGTTTTGAGCCTCAACGAGAATCTACTCGGGGACGACATTCCCAAGCAGCTGGGGAAATATGGCAAGCTTACCCATGTCAATCTCTCCTTCAACACTCTGGAGGGCAAAATCCCCAAGCCTCTTGCTCGATGCCCATTGAAATTCTTCTCCGTTGAGAACAACTCATTAAGTGGGGAAATACCATATTCGACCGTAATGAAAAAATTCGCTCCTGAGGCGTTTCTTGGCAATCCTCTACTTTGTGGGCAAGTCATCGGTAAAAAATGTCCAGGATTTCCCTTGTGGGCTAAAAACTTTTTGAGCGCCTTTTTTCCGCTACTGGCAGCGGTGGGCCTTTGGTACTTTTATCAATGGATGTTCCCGCCTGGTGACTATGCCAAGAGAACTATAATTAAAATTACGGACGACTTCAACAATAGCAACCTGATCGGCGTAGGAGGATATTGTGCAGTGTATAAGGGAGTTTTTACTAGTGGCAGAGTTGTTGCTGTGAAACGATTACGGCCAGAATACTATGGCGGTAATGTGAAGAAATTCGATAAAGAAAGAAGAATATTGATAAACGTCAAGCACCCAAATATTGTTAGAGTTTATGGTACTTGCTGTACCAAAAGGTTGAAAGTTCTTGTGCTCCAATATGTTCCGAATGGATCTTTAGACAGAAAATTACATCAGAGTGGAAGCTCTTTACATTGGAGCTCGAGGATAGATATTGCAGCAGGAATAGCACAAGCACTGGCTTATTTGCATGGAGAGTGGAAAGGAAAACGTCACCCCATGTTCTGGGAAACCAAGGCTTCGAGTGTCTTGCTGGATGACGATTACAATGCTCGCTTGACTGACTTTCGCTTGGCGAAAGCAAAACCTGAAGATAATACCAAGACACCTTTTAGTGGTTCAATAGGCTATACGGCACCAGGTTCGTTGATCTTGCTCTCCCTCTCTTGCTCTCCTCCTCTTCAGTCATTCAGTTTTGTTTGTGTTGCAAGGATAGAGCAGAGTGTTTGTCAGGTAATCGTACATTGCCTGGAGAAGTTTATAGCTTTGGAACGTTGTTGCTCGAAATTGTGACTGGTATAAGACCATGTGACGCAGATGCATCACAGGGTGGTCTTCCGGGCCTCGTTAGACAAGCATTTCCACGTAATGTGAGATCCATTTTTGATCCACAACTCGGAGATGACGTGAGACGGGTAGAGTATTTTGATCAGATGACTAGGTGCACAAGGATTGGTTTAATCTGCACAAACGAGTTGCCGGAGGAACGACCAAGTATGCAGAACGTGCTTTTCATGTTTGGACAAACATATTCGCCTCCCAGAGCATTGCTGCCTCTGCCAGGATGGCTCTTATTGGCTCTGGGCGTAGCTGAGGATAATCATACTGAAAGACCAACATGGTCACCTTGGTCATTGGTACCTTTGCCAATATGGCTGATGATGTTGCTTGGGTTCGCCCAAGAAAATGGTCCCCAACGACTGCCGAATTCCATGCTTCTGGCATAGTGGATTTATGGTGCGCCGTTAAATATTTCTATATTATATTATAAGAGTGAAATAGTCTCTTTTGCAGGCAATTTCATCGAAAACACTGGAACTCAGGGAAAACAATTGACGACAGAGTGTTATACACTCCAAATCTTTGTCAACTGTGAGACAAATATTCTTTTCAAAATGACTTCTGCCTCAATTGTGGCCGCGTTGTATCTCAATTTCTTTCAAAGAGCAGCTGTTTGTCTAGCTTTTTACCTTCAGTCGCTGGCTCCTAGTTGGAGGATCATTTTCATTTCAAGGAGCTGCAAATTGAGAAGGAATCTATTATTGCAAGGTCCAGAATATTTCAGGCCACTCCCTTTTGGCTCGAGCAGATGCAATACAAGCTGGGTAAGTTCTTGAGAGTTTCATCCCTAAACTCCATAACAAGACCTATATCGAAAATTGACGCATTTAGTTTGTTATGGCTGTAGTGTGCCTCAAGTGTCTTCAGACATCAGGTCTCCTCGGGCACCTTCCAAATCATCACTGATTGTTGGTCTATATTAGTGGCTCCAAGTGTTCCCAAGACAGTGAAAACAGCTTTATAATCGTCAATTCGTACAGACGAGTTCTGTAATCGTCAATGTTACTCATTATGTGCAAAGAGAAAACGCCCAGAACTCATCCCAAACCAAAAATAAAAAATGGAGGGAGGTCTTGTCTCTAGAACAAGAAATGCTTCTTTACCTCTCTTTTGCTCGAATTTTGACTCTCTCTCCCATTCTAGTGAGGGCTCGTGCTAGAGAACACTTCTATAGTTGACGAACACTTCTATTACTGAGGCCCAAAATATCTTTGCCCATAGCAACACTGATTCAGTTAAAGGATTACAAAAGATTTACCTGGGACGATTTACGGATTACCTGATATTGCATATTTAGACACATTCATGGTCACCTCATTAACACGGGATTTTAACCTCTGGTGGTGGAACACCTGCATAAGATACGTCGCTGAACTCGGACTTACTAAATTCTGGAGCGTCTGCTGCAATCTCATGTGGTCGAAAATGTGACCGAGCACCCATGGCTACCTGTCTGGAGATATCCAACTACGACCAAAGAAAGCTTAAACTTCTCTTTGCTCAGACAAAGAGCGATGACACCGTTTATTTTTTTATTGCTCCATGAGCTGACAACACACAGAAACACACAGAGAGAGTGTTATACCTCGCCATGTCTCCTGGTGGTAAGCTGAAGGTTTCCTTCAGTTCTTTTTTGCCTGAAAAGCTGCTATTTCAGACAATCGTCACTGGTGATGGACATGAAACACTACAATGTCTCCATCACCAAAATCTTAGGTGGCAAGTGACCAGTGTTTATGGGATTTCTAATACTTTTGTCCTTTGTTCTTGAATGCTAGACAACTCGGATGCTTGGGTAAATACCAGTAGAACACTCCAAATTGGCCCCTGAGCGCTAGAACCTGTCCACTACAAGAGCTACATTTTTTATTTGCCAACGTTTTAAGATCTTCCCAATTTGGATAAAGTGCCCTGTAAGCACTTTACGCCCTTTCCAATGCCTCCTTTCGATTGAAGTGGCTCTTATTTGCGGTCACTGGGACTTTTCATTTTATTTTCTAGTTTCAAAACATTCCACCATCAGCCAAATGCATAAATCAAAGAAAAATCATCAGCTACAGGCACATTCCTGGATCAAGAGAAGTTTAGCACAGCGTGAAAGTATGGTTATGTCTCAGCGTTTTGTAACTTGCAAGCAAGATGAAATGTGGTCCATATTTGATTGCATATTCTGGAGATGTACCATAAAAGAGCAACATTAAATTTGCTCTATAAAATATTTGACGTGCCTGCTTCTTCTGTCCTTGTATGCTTTTGTGTTCTACCAAGCGACCAAATCCCACTAGCATTATAGAACAAAGATTAGATAAATCATGACCCCTGAGATTTTGGTGATCCACCTCCAGGATCTGTTACTTTTGTCATGGTACGTAATAATCTGGTTCTGGGAGTAGCTACGATAGAGAAAAAATTATTTGGATATGACGAAGAAGAATTTAAGTCTGGAAAGGTGAACGGTTGTGATACTGCAGGCATTTTACATATTGTAAACTTGGAGACGAAAAAACTAGCAGGGAATCTGTAAATGCCAGAAAAAGGGACTTCGTCATCTGGTCATTTGACAGAGCTACAAGACAAACTTGGCTACGAAAAAAGAAAGAGAGATTCAGTCAGGTACCCCCCTCCTCATCTGGTTCCTTGATGAAGTAGTAAACAGAAACATGATGAGGCTATATTGTCAAGGAGGTAAATATGGCATGGTGAATTGAAGAAAGTATCTAATACCTGCAAAATGGAAAAGAAGCAAGGCACAAAAGAAAAAACCGTGTTACCAACAATGACGAATATCTGTATATGCCCATACTGGGTTACATAAAAATACCACTGCTACGACAGAGGTCATCCACAAAATGGAGCTGCAAAAGAAATTTGGCCTAGAAAGACTGGTGTTCCTCAAGAGGATGCATGATAGTAATTGTATAATCCACGGAAAGAGCACATTCTAAACATTTAGTTTCTCCTTAAGGATGACATCTGAGAGAAACAGTAAACAAGACCACTACAGCTCTTCATTGAATTTTAAATTCCTGCTAAATTTTGGACAACTTCCTTCTTTATTTGCAGCTTAAGCAACAAAATCTAAGCTCATGGACCAAGTATACATCATAATGCTTTGCAAACACTATTACATCTGCAAGAGATACTGGATCATATGTTAATGAAGAAATGAAGTTTCCAACAAAGGTTTTCAAAGAAATCATCAGCACACAAAGATTACTCCAATTTTGGTGTAACAAACTAGGTGCTAGAGAAACCATGTACCACATAAATGGAGAAGAGAGGAGCTTACACCACTACAGTAGAACTTTGTAGAACTTAGAACTTAGAATGGAGAGTGTTTTCCAGAGAGATCTCACGGCTTGCCAGTGGCAACAAGGTGGCCTTGAGCTTGGGTGTGAGCATTCCATGGCCTGCTAGTGGCAACACAGATAGTGATCTTGAATCTAAGAGTATCCTTGAGGATTTAAATCTTCAGAGTGTTCTCTTGAGAGGATTCAGAGAGTTCAAGGGAAAATTCTGGAGCACGAGATTGGCTCATGGCCTGCTGGTAGCAATGCAGTGGCCATGAGCAGATTTGATCAATAGAAGAGTGTTCTTTTACTCTTTCCTGGAAGTGTGTGACAGTGATGCAATTGGAGGCCATTTGCTTGCGTCTTGGAGCCCCCATCCAACCAGATCTCGGACTTGGTCTTGATCTTGGACTCCATCTTCTATTTCTTGGCTTGTTACCACACGTTGCCATTTATAGTTGTGTTGTGTGGCAGAGCCAGTCTTCATTTGAGGAAATTGTTCTAGCTCATGAGCAATCCTATTGCTACATGAGACCAAGCAGAACCTTATAAGTTGGACAGCATTGTCACCACTTTTCACCTGGCTTCTCTTCTCGGTGTCAGGTGTCCTTGTCTCGCTACCATTCAAGAGTGGCTTGAGGCTGGCTAGCGGAAACGTAAGCTCTCCTCTCCCCTCTAAGTGCACACCATCATCCTCTCATGTGTGGGATTCCTCCTATGCAGCACAACAAGGAATTAGGGCTTCTAGCTAGACTGGTTGATCTTTCTGGCTATAGAGTGAATTTGGTAGCCTTGGATTTGTTTGGCCTCCTTTGCTGTAGCTGCTTCCACATTTCTTAGAGCAACTTGCCCATGTAGGCCGCATGGCAGATTCAAGATGTAGATATGTGAGGGAGTAGGGATGAGTTTCACTGTTCAACATGCCTTGGTATCAAATGGAAGAGTTCACATCCAGCACGTATTGAATGTAGGGTTTAGGATTTAGAAGATCTTGCTATTCTCTTATCTAGAGAGTAATGAGCTGGTTTGGGAAGATTTTCAAAACTGGTATCTATAACAATGGTAGGTGAAAGATCAGCCCCTAGAGCACCAGAGTACTGCTCTTAGAAAAGGCACATGATCAATGATGAAGCAATAGGATTCCACCTGTTGTTTAAAAAAGATTCATCAGAAGGAGATCTAGTAGTATTTCCAACAGCAAGAACCAATGCAATGCCATCAATAGTGAGCTTGCAGGTAGCATAGTCAGATTCAAGCTTGGCTAGAGTGGCTGGAGTCCCTCCAAATCTGCACAAAAGGCTAAAAGGGCAGCAAGCAGCCACACAAGGTTGTAAAAGCCCTACATGCAAGGAATTGGGCACTTGCAGCACACCAACACATCATGTTTTATGGTGACTTTATGTCCTTCTACAAGGTCAAAGGGCCCCCAAGGACAAGGGATTCCATCTTCCTCAAGAAGATTATAGTGGGCATTTTCCTTAAGAGGCAAATGTGATATATGTGGAACATGGAGTGATTGAGGACTCATTCATAAGATGCATGAAGATCAAGGGTATGATAGATGTGCAACATTCAAATTGGAATTGATAGTTGCTATACTTACAATTCAATTTAATTTCAAGTAGTCACTCAGTCACTAAGGCAGATGAATTCAAGCATAATGAGATTAAGATTCCCAAAGTGAGCAAGACGATGGAATAGATAACAAGAAAGTTGGGGAGGATGCTACAGCTGAGAAGCTACAAGAAGAGGTCAAGGGGGTGACCTCAAACTTCACTCAGAGGATTAAGGATGAGTTTACCAAGATGGATTATTAGATGGTGACCCTGGATCAAATTGGGATAGGTAAAGAATGCTCAAAGTGGGAATGTAGGATTAAGGTGGGGCATTTGCAGCAGCAACTTTAGGAGGGATGTCTATGGCCTTTCTAACATGCTATAGATGACTCAAATGACCACAAAGGGTGGGTCAAGGGGCAGAGTGTTAGATGCCAGCTTTAACCAGGTGGTGAATGTAGGTCAAAGGGAAGCTCAAGGGTATATTAAGGCTTAGCAATGTCCTTGAGAGCCTCTGGAACTATGAAAGACTTATGTTGG